GGGGGGGGGGGGGATTCGGAATGCTTTTCTCTGTTTCATTTTCTCAGCTAGTTTTCAGCTTTTGGTATGAAGCAAGTCTCCGTGATTAAACAAGAATAAGACAGGAGATGGATATGTGAAGAGAAATAGTGCACTTCAAATAAATTCCAGTACCTGGTTGATGACACTGCTCCTCTTTTGAAATAACTCATCAATTCTGGAAGCTGTATCTTCTAACAATGGCATTGTCCCACTCTCCGAAGTCAGGCAACTTTGTCTCAACTCATCCAGTGCTTTGGATTTAACTGCAAGTTGATTTTCTATATCCTAGAAGGCCAAAGAAAATAGTTTTCATATGTACACTATCACAAAACAATAAGGTATAAGAGACAGGAGTCTGTTCAAGTAAAAATAACATTAGAGTATATAATTAATAACATTACACCATAGACATTAATCATAACACTCTTAATCCAGTGTTTACAATTATTACAATATGAATTTTTACAATAACTTCAATTATCACAGGAGTCTAGAATTTAGAAGGGTCCGCGTAATAAGTCCGTATCATCATGGTGCAGTAGAGAGTCCAGCAGACCCGGCCCCACCCATGTCTGCCCTGTACTGGCTGTGGGACCAGGCATTTCAGTCATCAGACCCCGAAGTCGGCATTTTCCCATCTGGAAAATAGTGATGATACCCCATGTTGTGCATAGCTGAGGAGTCAAGCGAAACTGGGGAGGCCTGTTGGGGGGTGGGGCAGCCCTGAGCTGCGGAATGAAGGCTTCCAGTCAGGAGGCATGTTGCATCTGAGGTGGATGCAAGAATTCGGAAGTGGAAGTGGTAGTGGGTAGTTAGAAACAGGATATGACCATCTGAAAAGCTCTCTTATAAGGGCGTCATGCTCGCGTATCACGTCCAGTATTCTTCTAACCTTCACGCCCCTGCAGCAGGTGCAGACGCAGCGGGCCTGCGCCACCGGCAGCCACAGGGACGCTGTGTCTTCAGGGAGGGGCGCAGTCAGGACAGTGCGTAACGTGAGGAGGATTAATCTACATCCGGGTGAGGGCACCTCAAAGGCTACGTAACCTGGCAAATGACAACTACACGACCAACGTCCTCAAGCTCGAATGGAACTTAGACAGAGGCTCCAAAGGACGAGCAGTCCTCTTAGAACAGCAGGTAAAAGAGCCACTTTCCTCTGAAGAAACAGGGTGAAATACTCAAAACAGATGAAACTTCAGAGCAATTTTTGTGAATATTTGGCACATTTTTAAAAAGACATAACAATTGGAAGCCATCACAATCAAAATACCCTGTGGACATTTTTTCCTCAGGAATGATATTCAAATCTCTTAAGAATAACACTAACTATGAAAATGCTTGGTTCTGTTTACCATTAAAAGAACCCCACCACGAATAATGACCTGTTTGACATAAAAAAGTAAGCGCATGGGGGTCTGGAGGAGACGGACGCCTGGAGCGAGCGCCGAGGCCGGCCCGCCCCGCGCCACAGCGCCCCACACC